TCTATATCTTATTGATCTTGCGTTTGTCGGTAAATAACAATATCGCCAGCGAACATACAGATATATTACGAAATATTGGTTGGAAGGTCGCTACTATAAATGATGAAATCAACGGCTCCAAAACAGATTCTTCGGCAGCACGGGAAGCAACAAAGACACATGAAGAGTTACAATTATTGGCAGTGACGAATTGTTTGCCGATTAGATAGGAAATGTTACATTGATTCAAGAACGTTAGTGTGTATGTAAGACACTTAAGACTGCTAACGTGTATGAATGCGAAGGCATTCGTATACGTAGCGTATTCCTACAAGCTGCGCACCGCGCTGATCCCTGCCGGGCGACCTCTGCGGAGGCTGCTCGGGTGGGCTCTGCGGCCGGGTGCTCTGTAGAGCCAGGCTGCTGCCTTTCCCTCTTACCGGCGGCCGTGCCGCTGCGCCGTGCAGAGGGCTTTTCTGGGGGGTGGCGTTCCTTAAAACTATGCCGGGCGTCAGCCAATGGGGGTTTATCCATCAATTTGATGCTACAGACTACGGACCTCTTTTTATGGGCCAGGGGAATTTATGTGCCGTTTGGCGCAGCTTCAAAGGCTGATGATGCCGGTTCGCTTCATGGGACAATTCTTGCTTGCACATTAATAATCTCTGGAGAAGGGATGTTTACGAAATAGGTTCTTTATTTATTTGAGAGGCGTTTGAAGTTTATGTTAAACATTGGGAAATACCAGGAGCCCTTTTATGGTAGTGTGTTGGTTATCAAGCATATTAATTTAAAAAAAAATAGTCCTGTTTTTTTACTCGACGATTTAAGAAGTATTCTATTAAAAATGTTTAAATAAAGGAAGTGCGAGGGCATGGTTAGTTTTCATATCGTCAGCAATGGCATAACCTTGTATTTTCTTTACGCGGGCTCATCGTTTTAGCAGCTGTTCTTTTCGCATAGAAGTAAAACATATTATTACCATACAAGTCGGAAGATACAATATTGGTGCTGCAACCTATGAGTGGGTTGAGAACAAGATGCAACACATTTACTGTTAATGATGTAACCTTGTGTTTGTTAACTAGTTAATTAAGATTAAATTATATACAAAGGCTAACAAAGTAACTGATTTACGATGAAGAATGAATCGCACCTGGAGTATCGTCTGTGTAAATATTAGAAGGATAAGTGTGCTCCAAAAAGTAAAATTGGCGAACTGGGAAAGCCCATTACAACGATACTTCAGGAGAGGCGTAGAGCTCGAGCAAAGAATAACGAGGATAAGGATATCCTACAACAAGCGCTCAGAATCCACCGTTTATTGTCACTGCCCATGAACATCAAACAATTTCGAAATCACTGATTGTGCTCAAGCAAAATCACTCAGTGTCGCTTGCTACGCAATTAAAACACAACCACCGCACCAATCTTGTCTCTCGTTTCCGTAAATCCTGTATTTGTTGGGTTCTTCAAACACTTCACAGCGACACACTTTCCAAGAAAGCCAAGTGTTCGTTATAACAATGACATAATTAATTACACATAGGAAACACAAATGAGCAGAATTTGTTTCATTTTTTTTTTATTTACACTTTTATTACTTGAAAAACGCACACAGACATCTGTGACATGTGAAAGAAAGACACTTTCCCTCTCGGCGTGCCATTCTACGTTTGGTGGCCGAGATGGTCCAGTTGCATAAGGCGAATTAACATTAACTAACAAAAAAACTTTGAGTCGCGTCCACTACTGGTGATGCCACGGAACCAATTCCGTTAGCACTGTTATTCTGCGAATCAAAAGCATGGCGGCTATTGTAAATATGGATTCATTGCGGCTAAGTTTGAAAGTCGTGTTTCTTTTGTCGCCAGAGTTCTGATTCCTTTTTTTTTTATGCATGACCTGTTGCTACTGAATAGACCTCGCTCACTGCAACGTGATTTGTATTTAACGATAATCTGGAAAGCGTAATGTGGTATATTACTTTGTAGGAAGCGAATTTTAAGATTTTTGGGCGATACTTTTGCTGACACAATTTACCACTTCTTAGGGCCTTAGTAATGGCTTCATCCACTACCTGAAAACGCAGCGACCGCCTAATCATGTTTAAAATTATTTCCTGTGTTTGTACCCAACTTGGAAATACAGTCAAAAACTCATAAAAGTAGATATCCCAACTTGAGTAATCCTTTGCATCATCTAGACGCAACCTCAGAACCCAGTTTTCTTTCTGCACATCTTCAGTAAAGCTTATGTCATGACAGTTTCTTGTTAAAGTTGAGTCATGGTAGTAGTTGAAGCTTTAACCTCGATCAGTCGCGTGTTTTATATTCAGTTATAGACGCGTTGATAGATTCCTGGTTTTGCGTAGCTTTATTTAGTGACGCGTGTATTGATGCCTGTGCTCGGTCCATTCTAAGCATGAGTTCACTGACGTATTTCAGCATTGCATGCATTTCGGTAAATTGCTCGAGCTTTTCTGCACTCGTAAGCCCTTGATTATATTTGACGTACCCATAAGTCTCAAAGAGAAGGCCTTCGGCATCAACACAATACAACACAAAATGGTGTCAGAGAAGGGCATGCACTTGGGCTAGTTGGTGATCCCTATTTCCGAGGGTAAAAGTGCTAAAAACAACGGACAAGTAAGAGAAACGAACAAAACAGAGTGCTTGTTGTTTGTTTCTTTTACTTGTCTGTTGTTTTTAGCGCTTTTACGCTCGGTAATATTGGTGCCAGAGAACACTAGTGAGCACGCAAAGAGCGGTAAAAAGTCATCGCCCGTCTGCTTAGCGGTTTTAGAAAGAATCGTGAAAGTTCAACGTGAAACGAGGTGAATGCAAGAGGTCTGGCCTGTCGACGTTCTAGAGTGCTTGGGGATACTTTTACTCACTAGGAGGTTTATTATGTACATAATTTATGAAGATTTAATGGTGAATACCTCGTGGCCCTTTTCCCAAGAAAGGACCAAAGAGAATTTGCTTGGAGGAACCAATCGTCAGGCCAAGCATCTGCAGGTGCGCTCAAGCAAGGATATGTCCTGCTGTTATGATAGCGATATTCTAAAATAATAGCACTCTAGCAAACACAAAAATTTATTATGCCTGAATAAGAACATGTTTATTTTAAGTAAATACAAAAATGTTTTGTATACTATAGTAACCGACAGTTTAGGGAACGCAGTGCGATGATTAATATGTTCGCGTCTTTTGCTGTGTCATTTTTTATTGCCTGTTCTTATGAGCTAAAGCCGCAATCGCAGAGGTGGCGCAACAATATTAACATGCCCCGAATCCAGCAGGCCCTGCTTTTCCTAGAGGGAAGCTGAAGAGGGGCTTGAACAAATTTGCAGTGACGTTTCCCTTCAAAGTTCTAATGAATGAAATGCATTATAGGGAATCGGCGAGGGAATCGGTGTTTCACGTGACGTATATTTCTCCGCTAAATTTAAGAAGGAAAGTGAATGGGATTATGGATCGCGTGACGGCGGGTCACGTGAGGTTTATTTTTCTCTCTAAATTTCGCTACGAAACTGCATACGTGTCTAGGTCGCAAAGCGTGGAATTTCCCGCTAAATTTAACACTCAAACTGAATTTACGTTTTGGCCACAAGGCGTGAATTGTCCCGCTGAATTTAGCGGGGAAACTCAGTTGATGTATAAGTCCCGTGCCGTCACTTTTCTCAAGGTCTGTAGGTCAAGTGACGTCACGTAACGCCACGTGAAGCCACTTCCCCCGCTAAATCTAGCGGAAAATGCGCGGACGGAAGGGCGGACAGACGAACGCACGGAAAGACGGACAAAATATTAAGATTAGGAAGTAGCGTTAAAACCATTTCTTGTATTAAAATCGAGTTAGAAGTGAATTTTAACATATCCGGTTTTGTGAATTGGAATATCACGAGCATTTAAACCAAGCGTATACATAAACTCGAAAAAAAAATACGAAAAAGAAATTGCTGGCTTTGACGTGACACTGAGAGGTCTCAACGGCCTTGCGCGTGCCCCTTGTGAGGGAGAGCACCCAGCGCTTTTTGACTGCACGGGTAAGGCTTGCGGAAGGCGCGGAAACGTAGAGGCATCTGTATACTACGTTATGATTCCCTCATCACACCAAGCGCGTCTGGAAGGATGGGCTTTAGCGCTTTTCTGAATGCCCCGCTGTGGCTACTTGGCGCGTCAATCTGAAATATGTCTGATATTCCTAAGAGTCTGTGACAAATTTGTCCCGAGCGAGTATACACGATTGACTAACCTCCACTTTCTTACCTTCTCTCATAGCAAACATCGACACGTATTCGTACTGGTGAATGCCATATAAAGACGATTTAAGCGTTCTTTTTTCTCAAATGCGGAAGTGTTTTAATTTCCCTCTAAGCTGTCCGTGACTCTAACCACACTATACGGCCAACAAGTGTTAAAATTCGTGTCTTTGGCGTATCGGCCCGCAAGTAGGAACATGCCAATCAAAAGGCAACATGGATAACGCCCAAGCAAGACTGTCAAGCGCACGCTTTCATTGGTTGAGGTCGGGGCAAGCAAGAGCACGTGGTCGCCTTTAAGGGTAAACAAGCGCACTAGGTGCTCAATCAAATTAAACAGCGCAAATAGTGTCCCATCACCCATGGCATTCATGTGTTTGCTATAGCCGACCAAATGCATCGCAAACAGTAAATGATCCGTGATGCTACGCTTCTTCTTTAGGTGATGATAGGCTTAGCCGGGGATAGGCGACACGCCAAAAACAACTAGCGCCGGGACGATGAACTGTTGGCGTTGCTTGAAGGGCTCCGTTGGATTGTAGCGTCGGCTGCGGATACATTTAAAATGAAATAGAGCATAGAGCATTGCAATTCGCCTGATTGCTAAAATCGCTAAAACCCTGGTCATTCAGACACAGATGCCACATGGTGTTCGTGTCTGCAAATGTTCATTAGTTTTTCTCTGCGAAATGCTCACTTTATAGTAGAAAGCATGTCGTGAAAAAAACTGACATATCGCTTTTTTTCTGCCTTTCAGAACGTAGACTGCAAGGTGTTCACGAGTTTCTGGCACTACGTGCTGATGGCCAACTACTGCTGGATCCTCATGGAGGGACTGTACCTGCACAGCCTCGTCTTCCTCGCCTTCTTCACGGACAGTTCGGGGATTATAAGATACGTCGCTCTTGGTTGGGGTAAGTCATATTTTTCTTATGCTTACTACTCCAATGAATATATCTCTCACTTATTGTCGTTGACAGATTAGCCAGTGGTTCTCATATCTCGAACAGATCGTATAAAGTGACGTATTTAGTGCGCTAGCAATTTCTCAAAACAATCGCGTGCCTCAGAAGGATTCAGAGTATTGCACTTCGTTTTGAAGGACCTGTCGAGGCGGTTGCTTTTAATTTAGTAGTATTCAGATACGCCAACTTTTAGGGACACCCCGCATTCAAGATATCGGTACTCTGGCGTCATCAAAAGTTGAACACCTCTATTGAGAAACGTTTTAGAGTACATTGTGCTTCATATTTATTCAAAGATTAGTGTAAAATATAGAAGGCAGAGTGTGGTGCTTAGTCTTATCACAGTAAGTAATTATGGAATTTTCTCTTGATTCCATTCGCCAATTTTTTGTCCTCATCACCACATCGTAACTCTGAAAAGTTTTGTATAAATTTTGCAGGGCTTCCGATACTGTTCCTTGTTCCTTGGGTAGCAGTAAGAGCAATGCTTGAAGACACGTAGTAAGTATATGAACCCACACTGTTTTCGTCCAGTCGCTGTTTTCGGAAAATAATGCTGGTTCGTTTTCCCTCTGCCACTTTAGTTGCTGGACAACAAATGACACAAAATCTTACTTCTGGATTATCCGAGGACCTATCACGGCGTCCATAGTGGTAAGACTGTTTTGGACCTTAGAATGTATTGGAGAAATTTTCTTGATCGCGCTGTGGAGTGCTTTCAGCTCTCTTCCAAGATGAAGCACTCTCTTTTTTTAAAGTCTTGCACTCTCCTGTGCAATGATGCGGAGAATGGAACATATTTGAATCGTAATTAAGGAAAATATTTAGGCAGCGAATGGGTGGCCGAGTGTGTTTGCACATCACAACTCGAAGCACTAAGAACAAAATTCTTACCGTTGCGGATCTATGCCATTGCACTGCCCCTTTATATCGGAATATGTTTCGCACCTGCGTAACGTCACTTAATTACTGTTGCATCATGCGCTTTAAAAACTATATTTTTCGCGTCCGCCAAAGTCACCGTACTCTCGCAGACCGAGATCGGATCGCCTTAACATCTAACATAAAATGTGATCTTGCTTTGCAAAAGTTGTTTTAAATAAATATGCCTGATAGCAGTTGGCACTTTGGAACGCACATGAAAAGAAAAACGCGAGAAGCTTCATAGCGCAGCGGACGTTTTGCTAAGAAGTTTAGTTTTTTCAGAGTCAATCAAAAAGGACATACGAGGAACTATTATGAACATGTAACGACAAATAAAAATCTTCACGCCGGAATAATATTTGTGGCTCTTGCATTTTACTCCTTATATTGTCTGCGTCACCGCGCATAATTTCTATATCTTCCAATATAGGGCTAAATTTAAAAAAAAAACGTGTATCCCTACACAAATTATGTTTTAATTATTTTAGTTTCGTTTCACAAACGTGGCTTTTATAAAGTTCCTTTATTCCAAACATTTATTTTCTAGTTCCGTCTATGCTTTTAATTAAAGAAATAATAAGATTATACTTTTTCACAGGCCTCAGTAAGGCAGGTGATCGCAAAGGTGCACTGGTGCAATTCTTCATCTATATGTAGTTGGCTGGTGTTCGCTAAAAAGAAAGACACACATAGTTTGACCAATTCATAACACACATTCTGAAAGGAAGCAGGTGACGCTCACAGGGATTTGTGTAGCCCTCCAACTTGAAATATTCATTGTACAGCATGATGGGGGGCATATAATAGAGTGACAATCAGGTGAAGCCGGACTATCATTTTTGAACTGGGTGATTTGCTTGTGTGGAGATGTGTTTGCAGTCTTCAGGTTTTTTTTTGCAGATAGAAAAAAAAGGAAGTGTTCCAAAACGTCGATCTATTTATATATTGACAGTCTAAACACTATTCCTTTTACAAGACTTTATAAACAATGAACCACCATAAAAGCAATGCATATAAGAAATAAAGAGTCAAATTGAAAGTTTGGTTAATATTTACATGAAGGTGTACTATGAACGAAAAAAAAGCGTTCATTGCCACCTCCCGAGTATTTCACGCAGTAAAACAAAAATTGGTTTCCATAAACAAAGTGAGGCAACAGGTGGGCGGAAGAATTGTGCCATATTAAAGGCTACCAAAAAACTTCAGATATATTTGTTTTGTTTTTTTGCAATCAGGTACTATTCGCGTTTTCGCGCAGTGTGTAATTTTTCATTGATCTGAAGGTAAGTGCGCAAAGAAGATGGTGTAAATTAAACATAATTACACTAGAAAAAATCTGGAGCGCCTGCTCTCCAGCAAAGCGCTTGGCAGAGCCAATTGCTGCAATCTAAGGCATGCACTCGACGAATAACGAGGCTGATAATGTGTCTGATCCTCGACAAACGGTCTCCGTTGTGACACTTTGCACGGTGAACCGCCGTACTAAGTAGCATTATCGCAGAAGGTTTTCTTGTTTTCTTTAAAGAGGCCTTGAAACGTTCTTTTCGAACATTCTGCGCTAAGTGCTAATTTGGATTACAGGTCCTCTATTACGTAGCCCACGCGCATTCGTTTTTATGTGAAAGCATGAACTGTCCCATGGAGCGAGCCGACGTCATCTGTTTTGAAACCGCGCCAAATGGCACCACCTTAAACCCTTTCTCCAAGTGAAGCCAGCTTCCAGCTATGAAACCACGCGAAAAGCCTAGACAACGGTACCATTTTCCCCGATCCCAAAGAAGCGGAGTAAAGCTGATGGATTTCGGCTTCGGTCCCATTGGCTGGCGCGCGTCGACGAGGCTCCCATCGACCGCTGCGCGTCGGTTTCAACGACGGCCACCCCATGGCGCTGCGTGTCCGCGAGGCAGCGGCTACACCGCTCCTCACCCAAAGTCAGCGCGCGGGCTCGACCGTCGACGAGAGAAGGGAGCGGAAGGAGCGGCGTGGCATGCTTTCGCATTCACACCTCATCAGAAGTGCTTGGGTGTACCTCGAGCCTTTTATTTCCTGGATTCCTTTATTAGCGTAAAACGGCATTTTCAATTTTCCGGAGAGCTTGCATCTCGATTCTACGATTACGTCACAACAAGACAGCCAATCGGAAAGTTTTGATTTCTGCCGTAACGCGTAAAAGTCAAAGGCGACCAGATACTTTCCTCAGATACAAAATATGCGATCGGCTGGGCCTCGCCGAGCTTCAGCGTCGCTTAATCGAAGGCAGCCGAGTTTTCGGCTTTGTGCATTATGCGGACACTCCCTCTGATGACTACGAGACCGGCCATCAGCCGACTTCGGCAGCGACAGCGAAGGCGGCGCGAGCTCTCTGCGGCGAGGTGCGTGCGGTTCGACGGGACGTATCCGTTCTTTCTCCGGGTCAAGGCTTGGCCGTCCTTCGATGTTCATATCATTGTCCCGTTTAGGAATAGATCGGAACAGACGTAACCCTGTCTCCTGCCAGTGTCGTTTGGGCCATCGCAGTCAATGGCTGGAAACCAGGCCGCTCTTCACTGTGGGTCGTCTGGCAACTTACGAAACCGAATGTCGTTCACTCTATCGTACCTTGTGCCTACTGTCTCACAACGCACGCGGTCCGCATGGCGAGTGCTGAAGCGCGCACACAACACACGCCAACGACGCAGAGCACACATCATAACCTAAGCCTTCCACACACAGAAAAGGCGCAGTGATCTTCAGACGACAAGAGCCGACGTAGCGATATGTTGCTGGACAAAATCAATCTCGGATGTGTTTCAAAACAAAACGTAGTTTTAGAACGCCAGTAAATGCGTTTCTATTTCTATAACTTTCTTTAATATTGGAGCAGAAAATAAAGTACAGTAGATCCACACCCTTACACACGTATTCTTGTGACGTTTGTTCCTCGAGCTGGCCAACAATGTCGCATGGTCATTCCAAACAACCCAAGAAACACGATTTTCAAACATGTTCTATAATATGTGAACGCAATACTTCGCCGCGATATTTGGGATTTAGGATGTCTGAGGTCTCAATTTTACAAAATTAAGCCTGAGAATATCTATTTTATTGCACGACCCCTTTAGAAATATTATCTGCCCCGTTATTCGCCGAGCAATCCCTCCGTAGGTTTCTGCGATTGGCTCTCTAAGTGCTATGTGAGAGAACAGAAGTTCCATATGTCTTAGAGTGTACGAGACACTCCAAGTCTAGGGTTGGAACTTTGTGCTGTCCTGTTTTTTTGTTTTTTTTTTACCCTTTACCTGCTTTCAGTATTATAAAAGCGGGGACAAGCTCCTCCGCATTGCACTCCACTTTATCGACTTCAGTGAGCGAACGTTGGATTGACGATGAGAGAGGAGGAGAGTACACTCGCCTCATCTCCGGCGTCCCCTTGCTTTGCGGGAGGAGCACGTCGCGCTTTTTTAAACTGCCACTGAGTATAACCTCAGGGCATTTCGTAATTACGTAGTTTTAGACGCTTTATTTATGCAATGAGCGAAGCGAAAGTGTGTGCTCCGGCTATTGGAAGATGCAAGAGCACATTGCAAAGAGCGATTGCAAATATCGGTGTCCGAGTTTTATTATAAATCAATTAAAACAAAGTTTGCTCTATATAAAGTGATAAGATATAAATATTTTATAAATGTAATCATTTATTTGATCAATTCATCGAAGAAAGATATAATAACGCTCGAATAATTATTTTACTTTCAGTGCAATCACAAACAATAGTCGGTTTTACGAGAAGTAGGTGGCATTGTAACTCGGATGTTCATTACCTTAGAGTGCACATATAATACAATTTGCTTACCCAGTTTGTTATAGCATAAAAAAAACATAACGTAAAAATAAAAAAAAAAATTCAAAACAGATGCTCTTACAAACTCCTTTCCGAGATGTATGAACAGCATCAGCCACAGGCAATAATTTTGTTTTGGTGTAATACTGTTGCCCGTATTTCTGATTCATCGCAGGTGAACTTCGTCCTATTTATCAACATTACAAGGGTACTCTTTGTAAAGCTGTTCACCACCCAAACCCACCAAGCAAGGAAGTACAGATACAGGTGAGACAAAGGGCTCCTTCTAGAAAATATTATGGACAACCTCAACATACTTTCATTATTCAGGAAGCCTTTGCTTTGCCAGCTGGCTTTTAAAAGTGGAACACAGCACAACAAAAGCGGTACTGAAAAGATTGTGTCGTAACCTGTTGAAAAAAGCGGTCATTTGGAAGTTTTTGACTGAATGAAGTTTTAAACTCTCCCACTCATGGAAAAAATTTCCGACGTGCGTTTCTACTTCATTTATCTGTACCCACGGGCCGTATTTACCTTTAACTTTTATGCTCAGTGCAAATTTCCGCCACACCGGTGTGTGAGCCGAGTGAAAAATAAGTAACTTCAAATATAAACAAAAGAAAAAAATAACCTGCGTCTTGCGGTTACCGCATACTGATAACTGGTCCTGGTCCTGGAGCTTTGTCAGGGCGACCAATTATCAATCGACTTTTGAAATTCCGATAACGTGTTGGGTTGTTCTAACTTTTCTTTTAAATCTGCTAAAATCTCGGCAATAAATTCAACTAAAACCCCTGAAAACCATTTTTTTTGAGTGCGTGGTAATTGAAATGTTTTTTTTTATATATAATATTGTACGAAAACGCGTTTGATCATTCCTTTATCGTGCCATACTACTTTTTGGTACTCTACAATCTCACTGACTTTATTCTGACCCACTTACTTGTTTCGACCCCTATCGCTCTTTTTATGGGCATTTCTCCGAGCGATAACTGCTTCCATCATCAAGAACCGCAAGGACATTTTTATAATGACTATTTCTTCAGAAAACAAACTGGGAGAAGTATACACTCCCCTCATCAGTTTCTGAAGTAGTGCGTTTACACCGCTCCCTTGTTTATTTATTTATTTTTCGTGCTTTAATAAACCGAAGAGTTCAAGAGCTATCATCTTAGTTACCTTCTTAAACAATTCCCATTTAATTCCGAACTCTTCCCTAGTAGCTTGCTGCTGTCGTCTTTTTATCGTTCCCCGGTCGCTATGTCATGCCCTGTACAAAAACAGCTAAAATCCCGCACAATAAAAAAGAAATTGATCAGTTTGAACGTACTTTTCAATGCGCTCAAAAATGATTAAACACTCATCCGCCTCAGGAGAGGCGTATATACACATCTCCTCGCTACGCACGCGGCAAAGTCACCTACACCTCGTTTCACTTTTAAGTCCAAACGCAACCGACACCTCGGGCTGATGGCACCTAGTCGCCAACGTCAAATAGCACTATCATTATGTTCGTCAAATTTCTGTTCACATTCTATCCGCGCTGAAAAAATAGTCAAAAGAAAAGGCCCAGCGACTTCCAGTTTTTACGCTGCCTGATTAGTACGATTAGCTCGCAGCGTCGGCTGCATCTGGACCAGGGTGTAAGATAGGCAGGTGGGGAAACGGCCCATAGAAACCTACCGCAGCACCGTGACCGGATTGTGTACTCGTCTGCTTGCGGGTATCCCCGATTAGCGACAGATGGCGCTGCGGCGAGAAGAAAAATATTGGAATCGAATTCGCATGAAACTGTATGAGAGAGTGCGCCAAATAAACCGAGAGCACGACAGTCATCCATTGAAAATCCACGAGAAACCATCTCCGTCAGTTTGGCCGGTCGCCACCGGTCGCCCACCCGGAGTGAGAGTTCGCGGTGCTCCACATAGATGGCGCCACAGAAAAAGAGAAAACCGAGGGGGGCATAATCCGGTCGCTCATTTGGCTCTCGTTTCTCCACCTCTCTATCTTACACCCTCATCTGCACTTAAGCTGAAACAAAGTATCGACCGTTTACCAAGACGAGCGTGTTTGCACACACCGGTGTGGGCACTGCGCGTGCGCGAAAACCAGATTCGCGCGAGTCGAAGCATCTTCACATGCCCAGTACCGACAGCAACGCCACCGCAGTGGCTTGACGTCATAGAGTTGAGTTGGTCTATAGAAACTATCGCTTGTGCGGCATTCGCACCACGCACGAATGTAGTGAAATATCAAAAACCATTTATTACGTTTATGGCGTGTGTATAGTTTTATTAGTCTATGCTTTTCGCATCGTTTTTTTTTTCTTAGTCCGTTAAGGCTACATTATTGCAGTATATTCACGTAAGTTATAGGACCAGGTAGATATGCTATAGGGGGTCCATCGTCAAAACTAGAAATGTTTCATTAATCTTAGTAAAAATAAGCACATTGTTCAAATTCGTGTCAACGAAAAGTACTGAATCAGCAAATTTTAGAAATAATGGCAGCACATGGCAAACGCAGTGGTGCGCTAAAGTTACCAGTCGTGCAAAAGACGCAAGACTGGGGAAACGAAAGCGAGGTTGATAATATTATCATCCGCATCCATCATGTTAAAGAATCTAAAGTCAACGCATACCGACTAGCATCGTCTCAAAGAGGGGGGTGAATCGGCCATTTTTACAGATTCGTTCATCTTTGGAAATTTGGGCACTCGCGCCTCGCCAGGGAACTTTTTGAGGACAACCCAGTTCCGACCTAAAGACAGAAGATAAAATTGTGAGTCCTTTAGTCTATACAGGTGGAAAGGGGAGTACTCTAAAACAAATCCTTATTTTAGAAAACCGGTCTCAAAGTGTGGATTATTGGGTGGTTTTTCGGGCATTCGTTCACTATTTTAATATTGGCACACGCGCCTCCCCAGGGAACCTTTTGGATACAAACCACTTCCGAGCTAAAGGCAGAATATAAAATTTAGAGTCTCGAGCCCATCCTGGTGCTATGGCGAGTAGTTGAAAATAAATCCTTTTTGAGAAAACTGGTTTCAAAGTGGGGATGGTCCGGCTGTTTATACGTATTCGTTTATCCTTTGAAATTTGGGCACACGCGCCTCGTCTACTAACTTTTAGATGTCTGCCAAAAACTTAACTGGTGAAAAAATCCACAATTTAGGGCCCTATAGAATAAGCTGCTACCATTGCAACTCTTCTAAAACGAGCCATTGTTGTGTAAACTTGTCTTGAAGTGGACATGGGTCGACTACTTTTAGGCATTCGTTCATCATTTCCTATTGCGGCCCTCGCGCCTCCTCCAGGAACTTCTTGAGATCGGCCGAGTTTTAAACTGTTGATGAAATACATAATTTAGGGCTTTTGACTACGAGCTGCTGCTATGGCAAATCCTCTAAAACCAGTTATATTTAGAAAAAAAGCCTGTCTCGAAGTGGACATAGTACGACTGTTTTTTTGAGGCACTAGTTCATCATTTCAAATTCGGACCTCCGGGCCTCATCCAGGAACTTTTTGAGATAGGCCGAATTTTTAACTACTGATAAAATACGAACTTTGAGGCAACTGAACACAAATGTATGCAATTGCAAAATCTTCAGCTTTGGCCCTCTCCGAAGAATGTGATACCAAGTCGGATATTTCTATATACTCTTTTCCTGATTTTCTTTTGTGCTGTTTTTATTCTGAGCGATTGGGTACATGAATCCTATATTAGTAATCAGTATGTGCTTAAATAATACTTTTGACATCGAAATGATTAGTTCACAAGAAGGATCATCCTCTCATAAATCATTTATTCACCGCACTGGCTTTCATTCCTTACAATAGAAAAGCCAATTTTATAATCACAGAACTGTAATAAGTGGGAAAATAAGCGCCAAAAAAACACGGACAAAGAGTAGATTGACAACGACACAGGCCATGAGCCAGGGCTACGCCCTGTGGAAAAGCTATCACTGGTGAGATGGATAGGTGAAAAGGCCAAACCCGAAGACAAAGATCGATGCGTGGCGGACGGCGTAGACGTACTACAGCGCACTTCCGGAATCTCCCCAAGGGGCTTCAAGTTCGGCCATATCATCGACCACTTCCTGAGTCACGATTTGAAGCTGCTTGCAGCTGACAAGGAGGGAGGCTTTGTGGTTGCCCCCCTTGCCCTGTATAGTACCAGGACGAGACAGGCCATCGACAGGAACTTCTAGCTGGTGAATCCTGGTGCCCTAACGAAGGTGAGGGACCGCGCGCTGGACTTCTGCCGTTCCTTGGAGCTGCCCACGGTTCTGAAAAATGTGAAAGCCAGCAAGAAATTGATTTTGGACATATTTTTCACCGCTAAGACTCATAAACCTGAGTGCCCTTTCCGGGCGATAGTGACAGAGAGAGGCACGTGGCAGTCGCAGATAGGGGACTATTTGCGCAATCATTTGTCTGGGTTAAAACTGGACGACCCGTTTGCCGCAAGGAACTCTGAGTGCGTCATTGAATTTTTGAGCAACGCTCACCATGGCATGCGCAGTGGCTTTTCCGTAGATGTCCAGGATTTGTTTTATTCCATCCCTTATGAGCCCCTCTTCCTTGCGGTAAGAGACTGCATCGACCTGAGTGGGGTTGCGGCTTTTCAGAGCTCTTGTGGTGTCAATGTTGAGGCTTTCCTTGAGCTCCTGTCTTTTTATTTAAAGAACACGTTTGTGACGTTTGAGGGAGGTGTTTATTTACAAAAGAAGGGAATTTGCATCGGTGCCAGTGTCGCGCCGGTTTTGTGCAATATCTTTTTAAGTAAGTGCGGAAAGGCGATAGCGGATAGCTCTGATATGAGTGATGGCAAATACAAGATATTTAGGTATGTGGATGATTTTCTCATCCTGGGACGCAATCCCGATCTCTCTAGCTGTGAAGTTTCAGAGACGCTAAAGGTGTTCAAGTCTTGCTGCCGCGGATTGTCATTTACGCACGAGACTCCTAAAGACGGAATTATACAATTTCTTGACCTCAAGCTAAGTTTTCTAGGTGAGCACATTTGTTGGGAGTACTCCCCTAGATCTAAGAAGGGGGTCCTTCCCTTCAATTCCTGCCACTCCAAGCTAGTGAAGAGAGGCATCGCGAGCTCGTGTATGGAGGCGTCTCTCAGAAAGTCTTGCCTGCATAGCGCCCACGATAGCTTTGTCAGACAAGTAGATCGTCTGCGAAAAGGGGGTTTCCCAATGAGCTCATTGGTCGAAGTGGCTGGGAGCCTGATAAAGAAGTTCAAGGGGACGC